GTCAACAGCAGGACAGGAGGAAGGAAAGGAGACATTTCAGAAGGCTGGGCTGTTTCCAGAGTCCATCTGTTTTCCGAAGTATCTGAAATTACTGGCACTTGTTAGCTCTGCTGCCTGCGAGGAACTGCTCGTTGGGCATTGCTGCTGGTTTTGTTCTTCCCATCTGCGGTTCTGTACGGCCTGGATTTGGGTGCCAAGGAGAGGAGGATCACTCTAACTGTGCAGTAGGCAGTTTTAATTTGTCTGTAGATAACAGGGAATTTGAATACTGAGGAGTTTTGTTTTGTTTTGTTTTGCCTTATCATAAGGTATTTTAGAAAGGCCGTGAGGGCTTTAATGCTCACTGTACGTTGCCAATAATAGCACAGATTTTCTTGTTGCTCTCTTTAATTTTTCTAGGTCCTAATCACGTGTCTATGCAGCAGTCAGGCCAGAACACTATGCCCACGACCTCTCTGAGTATGACTGTCAGCAGTCATGGAACTGGGCCTGGTTATAGCCATACAGTGCCTGCATCTCAGAATGTGCCAATGCAAGGCCAGGGGTCAATAGGCAATTATGTCTCTCGAACAAACATCAACATGCAGTCTAATCCAGGTAAACTCCCTCTTCCTCCTTCTGGGCCAACTTGACTTTTCAGTGACCTCAGAGGTTTACCACACATGAATTTGTTCTGTAAATATTTTCTGTAGATAGCGACAAACATACAAGAGGGAAAGACAGCTTTAAGACATCTCTGAATTTCAAGGTGTCAGGCACCAGTGTCAGTCAGAACAGCTTCGGCCTCGCTTTAACTTACACCGACTTGCTGTGGTTAGCAATGAGTTGGGGAAAAGAGGGTGAGCTAAAAGTGCAGCAGCACTCTCTGATAGTCCCTGCCAGCAAATCCCACAACCGTGGGAGGGAACGGAGAAGCACCTTGATCTAGCTGGAGGAGCCTGCCAAAGAGTATTACACGTTTACTGTTTGTACTTTACTACCCCATTTTTGTTATTTTATTGATACTTCACACCGCTTGCAGGGCATAGGGAGACTAGCAGACAACTCAGAATTAATCTTTTACTTTGTAAAAACGTTTGCTGCTGAGTATTGAATGGGACGTCCAGTGCTTAAGAATTCTTTCTGACAATATGAAAGTTAGGGATCATAGAATGTTAGTCTGTTTAAACTGTATAATCATCAGGTATGTCGTACAATGGAAGCAGAAGAGAGAGTTGGTTAGAAAAGAAATACAGCAATGAATTAGTCAGGAGGTAGAGAGGAACAAATGCATCAGTTCTTATTTCTTTAATCCTGCTGTAATAATGATTGCATTATTTTAATTAAACTAATAATAATCAAGGCTAGATGTATTTTTAAATATCGGACTGAAGCGAATGGCAAGAACTGACCGTGTAGTGACGCCCTTTCTGGATTACAGTGCAGAAGAGTTAAATACGTGCAGTAGGAAAACATCTCCCCCTGTGGAAAATTCCCAGAATTATCAGGATGCATGTTAGTTGAAGGTTTTAACTTGCTTCCAAAGAGACTAGGGAGAGAACTGTCACATCCTGTTGGAAAACGGTATTTTCCATGTGCGTTGTAGTCTCCATGATGCACCAGCAAGCAGCAACGTCACACTACAACTCCGCGCAAGGAGGGAGCCAGCACTACCAGGGGCAGTCCTCCATTGCCATGATGAGTCAGAGCAACCAGGGCAACAGCATGATGGGGCAGCGACCGATGGGCCCTTACAGAGCTTCGCAGCAAGGTAAAATCTGTTACAGGTTACTGGTACTGATAATTATTGTTAGATTGATGGTACACAGCCCGTCCTGTGGGGTAGGTAAGTCAACAAAATTTCCAGGTCACGTTTATGAACAGGGAATCCCATCCGGGAACACAGGAAATCTCAAATGGTGGAAGTATCAGATGAACTTTAATCTATTTTCAAGATTTATCTATTTAATTATTTCAGGTGTTTAGAAAAACAGTTCTGTCTAAAAGGGATCATGTATCTCTAAAGAAAAGATGAACAATTTGATACACAGCTCACTCAAGCCACTGGGAGTCTTTTCAGTTCTTTCAAATGGTATTGGATCAGCCGTAAGATGGCACAGTTAACAAGGAACACATTTCTGCACAGAAGATATAGTTTGCCAGCAATTAGTACGAAAAATTAGGCCAAGGAAAGGAAAACACCAGAGGATAACTACCATGCTCTAAGACCTCTCTGGAAAAAGTTCTAAGAGGTAATAAAGCTGCTAGACTGATGCTAACATAAACTGAATTTTGCTAAGAAACGAATTAATACGTTAAGTAAAATAGATTTAATTCTGACTGCGTTCTTGAGCATGGAATACATTTCTGTGCTTTCTGATAACTCAGATTAGCAGATGAAATGTAGCCATTGCTTTCGGTATTGCCATAGAAGTGAGTGGTTTTAGGACATGTTGCTGACCGACGTGCAATTTCAGTTTCAACCATCTTGTTCTGAGAATACAAGTTTATTTCCTTTTTCTAGTGAGACAAAAAAATCTTTGAAACTGCTCTCAACATACATAGCTTGTTTACTTATCCAGATGTAAACAGTGCTTTCTAAAAAAGTAATTAGATAAGAAAAAAACCATCCCTTAGGAGTCCACGGGCTCAGTTTGCTCTCTCTCGTCTTTGCCTTGCAGGTTCCTCGCAGCAGTACATGGGTCAGGAGGAATATTACAGTGAACAGTACAGCCATGGACAAGGCTCGTCAGAACCTATGAATCAGCAATACTATCCAGATGGTAATTCCTCTGAGCTGTAGTCTGTTGCACTGCTAAAGTGCAGACCACCGTGACTGCCAGTCCAAGGACACGGCAAACCCGTTGCGAATCGTTTCCAATTTAAATGCTAGAAAATGCTAATCCCAGGGCATGGGAGCCTGGTACACAAACACGCGCATCAGTGCATCCTGCTATCCAAACTGCTTCTAAAAGAGCACAAAGCCGAGTTTGGATTAGTGAGTGCAAGAGATTTATCCATAGGTGTGGTTCTCCTTGCCGTGTAGTCAACCTCCTACCTGAGGGATCTGTCTGTATTTCCTCTTAGCCTCATCTTTGTGCATAAGCAGCTTCATAATACCTGTATTCAACAATATATCTCTAGTTATATTAACAATGTGTCTGATAAATCTTTGCAATTCCTTGTAGGACACGGTGATTATGCCTATCAGCAGTCATCCTATACTGAGCAGAGCTATGACAGGTCATTCGATGACTCTACACAACACTATTATGAAGGAGGTAGGAAAATATATTGGCAGTCATTGTAAGCCAAAGCTCTAATCCCCTAAAATACTGATGAAATGCTTATGAAAATGTAAAATATGACTTGCAATTTCTGCATCACTAACTGCTACTTAGCCATTACTTAAGGAGTGTCCAGGAAATAGGCTTCAGCTACGTACAGCGTTTTTTATACCGAGGCTGTGTCAGACGTATACCCAGTATCACGTCAGTAGCTGCGTTGTGAGGCAGTCGCGCTGTGCAGCCTTGTGGGACCACTAACCACTTGTGTGTAGCCTCATGTTCATTAGAAGAATGATCCTCGGTTGTAGCTGAGCCAGGTGGAATTAAAGCTGTGGATATTGAACCTTTATTGCGGTAAGAGAAAAGACTTCCAGGATATCGGTATCCTCTGCTCTTACAAAGCTGTTTAACAAACATTTTATGTAATGCAACTGAAAATGGCTGTATTGAAGTAAAAGGTTATGCTGGCAAAGGCAAACTAGCATGCTGCAGTTAGAACTGGGGTTCAGAGCCATAAAAAAGTGGCAGCTATAAATGGAAGTTTCTCTGAAGCAAGAAAGCCTACTGGTTAATTCCAGGGCCAACTTTTTTAGATTTTACTTAACTCACCTTCACAAATTGTGAAAAAAAATGGGCTAAATGAAACTAATCTTTGAAAATCACCAATACTGTGAGTTTGCAGTTCTACCACTAAAAAACTCTCAACAGCAGTACGTCGGTAAATTCAGTGATACTGTTAAGAGATCTGAACTCTAAATTAACTGCAAAATACTAACTTAGCTATAATACAGCAAGGTGGTATTTAGGAAAAGCGATGTCATCTGTATAGTCTCCATTTATTTTGTTGTTTCAGGATACTGCAAATGGAATTTCCATCATAGATATTTCAAAAAAATACCGGTAACAACTAAATAACTGGTATTTCTGGGATATGTGAATAAGCATCATTATCTAGAAGAAATACAGTGGGAGGGCTTCTTGAGAAACCGGCTATTTACCCTGGCACCCTTATCTTTGTGACACTCTATTTTTCTTCTGAAACACTTCTGGGGTAAAAAAATCATTTGGGCAACAGTTTGCTTGTTTGTTTAGTGACGTGTATAAATAAAGAACTCTTTCCTGTTCAAAAGAACTAAAAATCACTGAAGAAATAAACATCCTGATGGGCAAGGTGCAATCATCTGTTTCTGAAAAGAGTTCTTGTCTATGAGTTCCAGACCAAGGCTCCTTATGCCTTTGTTTTTCCTTAGGTACAGTGAAATACCAATCTATAACCAAACTACTTCAATTTTTCCCTCTTTAGGAAATTCTCAGTACAGCCAGCAGCAGGCAGGATACCAACAGGGAGCTGCACAACAGCAAACATACTCCCAGCAGCAATACCCAAATCAACAAAGTTACCCGGGACAACAACAAGGATACGGTAAGAAAACTATCACTGACCAGTCAAGCGCTTGCAGTTCTTCACCCTGACGCCTCCATTCCTCAGCTAAAATGTGCTGTGAACTTCTCCTTGATTAACCTCGGACATCCACGCGCCAAAACTAGCCAAAGGGCATAGCGTGGAAAGGGGTTCTGGGCAGGAACATACGTCAGCAGAGCACTGCGTTCCCTGCTGAATGGTAGCATCCTGAATCCCTCTCTCTTTGGAAAGAAAGTTAGGAAATGCACTTTTTCCCTCCTGTTGACTTCCCGGTACGTGTCGGAGGTGGTCACTGCCTGCATTCTCAGGCCTCCTACACATCTAATAGTTCTGCGGCCGACAGGAAAAAATAACATCAACAGTCCAGAGAATCACTACTCCCTCGCTTAGATTTCTTGCCACATCGTAGGGGTTTTATTCCTTGGTGAGGGACTGAGGCGAAAGGAAAAAAGTGGAAGTGCTTGGTACACGCAGCTGACACTGGCGCTGAACGGCTTTCAAACCCTTCAGGTCACCCGTGGCAGATCTCCCCACTGCTGTCAAATGAATCTGAGTTTGAGTTTTCTGACTGATTGGAGGCAGCTTGTTTGTATCCTCAGCCTTTGGGAGAAAGAAAACATTTCAGGTTGTTTGTTACAAAAACAGGGGCTGGAGAGATTGGAATAATGTAAATAACGAGCTCCGAGGCAAGGGATTTGTGGTGCATCTCCCAAATGTGACCTTGAACTGCGATGTTAACCAGACTTGATAAATTGGTGTTGATTTAAACAGCAAATCCATTTTAGAAATGTAATATCTCGTGAAATAGAACCTACATGCCTAAAAAGTCAATTAAATTATTAACCCCTGACTCTGCAGTGCCAGTAGATAGTTTGGACTACTCAAACCAGACATACTCTGTGAAATGAAACCCCAAATTCAGTTTATGATGTTAAAATCTGGCCTCCTCGTTTTAAAGGTTCTCCTTCATAAAATCCACCAATAATGTTAAAAAGTTAAGTGCACACAGCAGTCTGTACGCAGAATATACAGCCCCGAAGTGCTGTGCAGTTGCGTGTCTGATTTAGATGTTATTTAAACGTATCTCTATACGTGAAAGCTTTCTTAGCTTCTGCCTGGTCAGCAGTGCTGGTGGTGGCACAGCCAGATTAAATGGGAAGTTCAATGTGCGGTTGTTGCTGAAGAAGGGCCACGTAGCTTGGCTATAGGTGATAGCGGAGCTGTGCCAATACAGATTTCAGAGAGGCAGATCACTTAAACATGTGTCACATTTTCTGAGCAAAGCTTAAAACCTGAACTGAAGTTTATGCTGCTGCAACTAGATCATGATTAGTATTAACACTTTCTAGTATAAACCTAGCGGGGAGGTCTAGGCAAAATTTACTCACAGTTCCTACTCGCAGAGCTTACTTCGTTACCGTTCTGGTAACAAACTTTGGTTTGCATTATGTTAACCCCAAGAACGCCCTCTAGCAAATCCAGCCTTACTAATGGATTTCACTGTCTTCTCAGGTCCGGCACAAGGAGCCTCTTCGCAGTATTCCAGCTACCAACAGGGTCAGGGGCAGCAATATGGAAGTTACAGAGCTTCTCAGACAGGCCCCTCCGCTCAGCAACAGAGGCCTTACGGCTACGAGCAGGTAAATTGTCTAAATCTCTGCTACGAAAAAGCAGATTCAGCTGTTAGCTCCACACACAAATCTGTCTGATAATTTGGTGCAGGCGTATTGGCGATACTTCGGTGGGTCTTTCAAAATTCGTAGACCAAAAGAAATTGTCTAACTCACTGTAAACCTCTGATAGATTATTCTCCAACATTTTTCTCTTTTTTATAGGGACAATATGGAAATTACCAGCAATAAAAGAATTCGATCCTGTGTCAGATTCATTTCAGTAGTATCTCCATCTTTTGAACTGGATGTACAGGCAGTTTTGAGTAATTGTAATATGTTGGTTACCCCTTAGCACAAAGCAGCGTCTGTATGTGAACAGTGTTCATTTCATGCTGGATATGAAGCAGTGCACTACTGGTAACAAGACAATGCTTTAATGGTTTGATATTTGGTGCTGTGTATAGTACTGTATGTTGATACAATGCAGAAGTTTTTCATTTACCCCCCCACCGTCGTCCCATTCTTGATGTTTCTAAATAGCTTTAGGATCATTTGATCACAGTTGTGCCCCGCTCTGGAAAACAGCCAGGTTGTTCTGCCGTCTGGCTCAGTACAAAGCCATTCAGTCTTCTCTCGGTCCAGGCAGGTATCCTGCCGTAGGTTATTGATCTTTTTTTAACTGAAGGCATTGGAGATTACCTGCCAGCCTCGGAAATCCACGGCTCTTAACTTTACTTCTTAAGAATAAGGGGAGGGATGCATTCCTTATGTGAAGACAGCTCTATGATATCTTAAAAATAAAATTAACATCAACTTCTGCAATACCTACCAGGGCTAACTACCCGAGTCTTCTAATTCAATAATCTACATAAGTCTGCATTTCTGTTGTAGAAGGTCCAGAAAGAGGTCAAAACCTACATTCACTAGAGGCACCTTTTGTATATCCATGTAAAGTAAGGTATTTCTATCATGGAAAGAAAAATAGAAGGGAGCTCTGAGATCTGCAGCGTCAGCCTAGGAGATGTCAATATTGCTTCATATTGTGCTTAGCTGAGAGAAACATCTGGCAGTCCTAAACATGCTGCTCCAAATTTTGTAACTCCCATATACATTTTCATGCCAAATTTCACAAGCAGGTGGCTGGCATCCTTCTTTATTTCCATCCTTCCATTGCCCTTGCTCGGATTTTCCAGCAAGCATTACAGCCATAAACACTGTCAAAGCTTTTGGTCGACGGTTCTTACAGCTTATCGTCACTTTTCTTTTTCTTTCGTAGCTCGACAGAAATAGTTCAGAAGTGAAAGAAAAAAAAATCCGTCTTTATTGCAGATAAGCGACTAAATTCAGCTTTAATTGTGAAACGACATTATGCATATGGAGAGAGGGACTATTACTGGGGTCAAGCAGTGAGGGAACACCTATAGAGGGAGGATTTAGAAATAAAAACTAGTGGTATGTAAAAGCCAGTATGAACAATGTATGTCACTTCTGTTCAGGTTTATATGTTCTTATAAAGTGTTGGGAAAAAGCACTTAGAAAGTGCTGAACAAAACACCGCGTCCAAACTTCTGTGGGGCGAAAGGCTGGGATGACTGTACTCCATGAGCATTTTTTAATAGGAGATTAACTGCAAATTTACAGTATAGAGTAAATACACCCTCTGTAGGATTTTCTCCTTTTCTTTGTCTGAACTGGTGTATTTATGAGATTTTGAGTTCTAGCGCTTTTTATTTTGAAAAATCAAGACCGGAAGGAAAATAGAAGATCTCTCAATGCATTACTTTTTTTTTTTTTTTTTTCCTCTCCTGTAGAGGAAAGTCTTTAACTGGACAGCTAAAGAGTTTACTATTAAATGTTGTCCAAGCACTGCCCTTGCTACCTTAATAATTTTGACTACTGGTAAAATAGAAGACATTTTTTTAGGTAGTCCTCATTTCTCTCATCTTTCCTGCTGGTGTTTTCATGCAAATAAGTACTCTCAAACAGCAAGGAACAGAAAAGAAGTAAGATTGGTTTCTGTCCAATATATTAATAATACAGTAGCCAGAAGAATGCAATATTGCTCTTTGCCAGCTCGGAAATATACCTTTTATGTGGTTTTTGAAAGTGCTGAAATACTTTTGAGAGAATACGAGCAACACTTAAAATGAAACAGCAACATTACACCAATCTGAAATGTCTTACATTAAGAAATTCTTGAATGTTGTGTATATAATGTATTTGAAAGAGCACTTTGGAAATAGTTTGTACATTTATTTCCTAATTTATACATGATTTTTGGTGTTAATATTTCTAATTGTTAATTACAAAATGTTTATTTAATGTGTTGTCCATTTTTATGTATTAATGTGGAAACAAAGTGATGCCAGCATTTTGACTTCTTCCATTAATTGTATCATTTTCTGTTTTGTAATACAGAATGCTTGAGAATTGTTTAGGTTAAATATGATCTGAAAATGAAGTTGGTGGCACTTTTCTTACGACACAGGCTTTTGAATGGAAACAACAGCTAAAGGGATTCTTTTGCGTTGCACCTCACCCCCTCCTTCTCCGGTACCTTTCCTAGAGAACGATACGCGACAGAAGCTCGTCCCAGAGATGATTTGATGTGCAAAGGCCGAGCGCTCCGTGCGGGCGGGGTGGGGGTGCGCGGTCACTCGCTCTCCTCCCGGCGCGGGCAGCGGACG